TTGCACTCACAGAAACAATCTTCTTCGAAAAATAATAATTTTAATCAGTATTATAGAATTTCGAATCGGTAGCCCATCCTGGAATGGGCACTAGACTACCCTGGGGTGGGCACGGCCCACCCGCCCCCACCGCTATATACGCCTGTGCTATCAACATGCATGTTGATAGATCTGAGTTAATTGAATAGAAGAAAGAGAGATCGATCAACATGCATGTTGATAGATCTGAGTTAATTGAATAGAAGAAAGAGATCGTTCTATTTAATGTAGTATTTATTGTTTTAAGAGTGTGATAAACGATATAAATGAATATAAGACGTATTAATTAATATTTAAATCCAACATGTAAGTGGTTGTACAAGACATGCGTGTATTTTACTACTTCGGTTCAATGAAGAATTATGAAGCTGTGATTACATGACTAGGTAATAGGCTGAATCAATAATTTAAATGTTTCTTATTGTAATTATAACAACGTTCGGTTTTAGCTCAAACAAAGTAAAGATCTTAACTTTCATTTTAATTTAGATAGGTAATGATATACCACTGTACCATCAAGGGAACAGCCAATTTTAAATGCTACCGATCAAAGAAAATCATTTTACTATTTTGAATGTGGTAAGGCTACATCTAAGGCAAACTCACCAGAGAATTTACTTCTTATAAATGACTCTAAGGTAATTCAGGTTTCCTAATTTGATTTTCACATTCGCAGGTTAAACATACTTACCAAGCAGTTCTTAGAAACTTTTAGAAAAAAAGAGGCAACTTTTGAAATTAAACAAGTGACAAGAAAACATGCTATTTGTTGTGTAAAGGCAAGCGTATTTTCATTATAGGTATGTGCATTAGTCTTAACTGAGACTATTTACTACCTACTACTAAACAAATTGATGCCATTTGTCATAATCGACAAAGGTGTTAGCGAGTTTCACTATGATTATACGTCATTGTGCAAGTGTTCTAAGCCGTTTGGTTTAAGAGAAAACTTTTGTACGAGACAATCTAGGTTCACGGAATACTGACCATGTATACTAAGCTGTTTTATAATTTTAGGCAACAGTAAAATAAAAGAAATAACTATAAATTATTGCATTTTAATTAAAATATTTTTTATAATTATTATTGATCGCAGACCTACACCACTTCAAACAATCAGAGGACCAAGCACGATTTTTGACAGCTCCGTAATAGTATCGCATCGTCAAAGTTTCTATGAAAACTAAGTGGCGCCCCCACCGGTCGAAAAAACAAACTGGCTTCTTCCATACATTTGATGATGACGATACGTTACGTTACGGAGCTGTCAAAATTTATGCTTGGATCTCTGCAATTAGTAACCTACTGCTTAGTTTATAGGTTCAATGCATGGGTTCAATCGGTTCCATTGGCCTGTCCCCGTAGCATGAGCACCACAATTTACAATATACCACGTTTTTATCGCCTCTAACCGTTAAACTCACATTAAACTCCATGGTAATTTGACAATTGAGCGTGATAAATACGCGTTACATATCATCTCGCGGTGCTCATGCTAGGGGCTGGTGGTTGTGACCTACACTCAAGATACCACTAATTATCTTACACTAATAATATACTTTTTTTTTGTTAACGCAGGCAAAACCTCTGCTTACAGACGACGGCGCCTTTAAGAGGCACACCGCCGAACGGACCTAACACCTGGCTTCCGCAACATTTACGGACCCCCACAGTGGCTGCCCACTTACTGTTACTCTTAAGGGCGCTTTACGGCATAATATCTGCTAAAAAACCCTGCGAATACCCTCGAAGCTGCTTAGTGCAAAGCCATGGGATCCCCGTTTATGGATCCTTCCGCGTTTCCGCACCCAGCAGCCTCCCGGCCTAGCCGGGGCTCCATGGCAGGAGTCTCCCGGGGTATCGCGGGGAACCCGCAGACGTGCGCGGTTAGGACCGCGCTGTGAGCTAAGTGTGCGGCCTAGTGCCCACACTAATGATATACCTAAAAGTGAAAGTTCGTATGTTTAGATAGGTATTTGTTACTCAAATCACACAAAAACAAACACCGGATTTGACTGTAACTTGGCACAAGGATATTTTATTACATCATTGTGGATTAGGACATAGGAATTTTTATCCTGTGATGGATTTTCAGAGTCCATTTGAAATGAATACCTTAATCGTTAAAATGGCTAAATAAGTACCTTGTGTAATATAATAACTATTTCATATAGTAAGTATCTAATCGTAAAAACTTGTTTTCTGTAAGCAACTATTAGAAGCGTTGTATAGACTTTATTATAATGCAACGATGTATTGCATTCGTCACAATTCATTAATATATTTCTAATTTCATTATAAAACCTATTACTGAGGCTTATAGACTTGTCAATCGTAAAAAAATGAGTAATGGATAATGAGCTTATTAATATTAAAATGTGTGATGGAACTTTTGTTCCGATTACAATGCACTGGGCACTACCTAGTTTATCGAGAGAAAATTCGGAAGTTCTATGATTTGACACCAGATATTGTACAATTTATTCACCTACTTTGTGGCTCCTTCATATTTCTATAATCACTACCTAGTTATTTCTAGCTTAGACAAATTGTTAAGACACAGGACATTGTGTAAAGCTATATATTTATTTATTTTTTGAGTGTGTATGCTGTTGATCGTAGATGACCTTTACAGTGTCACCGGGTTTGGGGACGGCGAGATCCCAAGGGGCCCTCAAGCCGAGAATTGGCGAGTGCCTCTAGAGGTATTCCAGGCGGATGGCATCTCCCCACGGGGGAGTCTCCTCTCCGTCTGGAGCCTCTAGACCACTCGAACCTGAGGGATTTAAGCTGTAAAAAAACTATGTACTGTAGATATGGATATTAATATTTCTTTGTGTGTTGCTCAATTGAAGGGGTTTTAGTTGATATACCCTAGACGAAACGACAGACGGATGGACATCGCGGCACTACTGTACTCCACTTCACAAGGACGCCTTATTCCCAAATTGAGTACGTAATAATGAAAGAGGTGATGATTATGATGACTTACGTCTAGATATCGATATTAAAATATTTTATTAATGCATTACAATTTCAGGATCTATATATTTTGTATGTATTCAAACCAAGAAAAGGGCATTCATTTGTTTTTGCAAATTTAATGCGTGCATATGTAACTCTTCCGTGTGCTTGTGTTCAATAGTACTTACCTAACTAGTCAATAAATCTTCTAGGCAGTAGCAATATAACACGCATCTTAGTGTATTATGCACAGAAGAGAAAACGGTTTTTCACATTGCCTGACCTGTCAGCCGAGTTATTACGGATAGCTATTGGACCGTGGAGATCTGCAATCTGCATTTGCAATGTTTGCTTCTAATTATGGCAGAAAAACAATGAGAAAACGCACTTCCATTTTTGGAACAACATAAAATTACCTTATAAATCAGCTTTATTTTCTCCATAACCATTTTATATTAAAAAATAACATTATAATATTATTAACAATATTTGGATATGGAGACTGGTGCCTGAACTAAGGTTAGAACCCGTTTTACGTGTCACCAGGCCTCTGCAGTCAGGCTGAATTTAACTTTTACTATTGTGATCATATATGATTTAGTGGAGAGATATTGGAAAAAGCAGAAAAGATAGCTATTAGGACATTTTAAAAAACAATCGGCTACTTGGCTGTTAGTTAGTGGTGCTGTATGAACCCTTATTCGTGGTCACTTTAGATGAATGATTGGTCTCACGTGGACACCTAAATAACTTAAAAACGTACCGACCGAATTGAGAACCTCCTTCTTTTTGTAGTTGGTTAATAACATTAATGATGCTTAGAAAAACATTAAAAAAAATACAGTTTTTTATTTCACCTGTTTTTAAATAGACCTTGTGTGATGTCCAAATCGTACTTGGCTTTTTTCTGTTTACCATAAGGACATTGAAGAAACTATTTGCAAATTGGTTTACATATTAAGTTACAAAAAATAAAAAATAAACGAACGGTAGATTCGTTTATGGAATTTTTTTTTTTGCCTACATAGTTTTTGTACGTGCCCAGAAGATAATTCATTTAATGATAGAGAAGCCCCTTCTCTTGACTTCTAAAGAAGACTGACGTCCATACTAAGAATCGTCAAACTTTAATGTTATTTAAAGACTTCACGTTTAACTATATTATTGAAACGAGAAAGTAACAACTATCATTTAAATCAACCTTAAAATTTAAATGCTCTTTCTGAGTAAGGCCGTTAGTAAACGACCGATATGATTAATCTCCATTAAGCACTTGTCGAGAAGTAAGAGAAGCAAGTAGGGCGAGAATCTTAAATCGAGTTGACGATCGACAGGAAGCAAGTATGTAGTACCGATAGTTTTATCGACAGAACACAGAAAGAGGTTAGAAGGGTGTGATCATAGACCGTTTGTACGGGAACCGATGTAGCCGACCCCCACTACGCTTCCATCTAATAGATAATAGCCAATCAAACGACGCGACATCAAACAATCGAACCAATGAGCGCTCACAGCCAAGAGTAACGACACAATCAGAACCAAGTTTTGGTCGAATTATGAGCATAGGCTCACACATAACTGTGGCGCGTCTGCCCCGCCCACAAGGCCCTTCTAACCTCTTTCTGTGTTCTATGGTTTTATCGCTGGGCTATAAGCGAATGTGCAAGTATGACGGACGCTTACTTGCACCACTCGCTCATGGAGGCAGTTCTGGGCAAGAAAGAACGCGCACGCGCGTTTTGACGGCCAAGCAGGCATCACTGAGCTGGCTGAGTCTCGCTATAAGCGATAATTATCTCTAATAGTTCTTGTTTGTCCCAAACTAGTGGTGAGTGCTTGCAGTCAGTGTGAACGTTAGCGATCACACATTAATCTAAACATCTCTTTTGTTTAGACGGAATATCTGTAGGTATATCTATTGTACGTTTCTTAAGCAAAATAAAAGCCGATACTAAAGTTAGTCACTTCCTCGCCGGCGGTGGGACAACGGCCTTATGTTGTAATAAAATATGATTTCGAAGTTGTTTGTGTATATTTGTTATGTTAAAGTAGGTTCCGGTCACATTAATTATTTAAAAATGACCACAGTTTCCATACCAATTGCTAAGGTTTTCTTCCCGATTTCGGACAAGGTAAACGGTAGCAGCGCATCAAGAGATGCATATCGTAAAAGGTCATGTGATGGAAGGAGAAATATTCCGGATTCTTGTAAGTACAGCATTTGCCAGCTCCGAGGCCAAGAACCTGCAAAAATATAATTCTTTATTACTTTCGAGCAGTTAGCGCTAGGTACACCCACAGAACACAGAAAGAGGTAAGAAGGACCTTGCGGACGGGGCAGGCGCGTCATAGTTATGTGTGAGCAAATGCTCATAACTTGACTAAGGCCCGTAGTACAGAATGACTACTAAGTGTTGATCTTTACTTGAGTACAGTTAGAAAGGGATGTCGCTATGTGCTATATATAGCGACATCCTTTTCTAACTATGCTCAAGACTAGATCAATCACTGAGAATCTTTCTATAATACGGGCCTAAAACTTGGTTCTGATTGCGTGCGTCGTTGCTCGGGTGTGAGCGCTGATTGGGTCGATTGTTTGATGTCGCGTCGTTTGATTGGCTATTATCTATTAGGTGAAAATGTAGTGGGGCCGAGCCGGCGACATCGGTTCCCGTACAAATGCTGTATGAGCACCCTTCTTACCTCTTTCTGTGTTCTGTGGGTACACCAAACTTAGCTTAAGTACCACTTAAAAGCTACTACTAACTTAAGAAGAAACAAAATTGGTGTGGTTTTATGAAACCACGGTGCAAGTGATATATTTAAAATTTAACAACCCGTGTAATTTTTTCGAGGCTTAAAAAATGTGGAAAATAAAAAGAGATCTTCTGTCTCGACTGGGAACCAAACCTGGGCCGCCCGCGAAATAGGCGAGCTTTCTACCACTGAACCACCGATACTTGGGAGTAAGGTCTGATTTTTGTAATAACAACCAAAAATGTAATGCGGCTTGCTAAAGATGAACGAAATAAATTGTGGCGATTTAATAAGAGTTTCACTTTAATAAATGAACATAACATAAATCCGGAATCGTCTTGCTTTTCTAAGGCTCGTATTACAGACTGACAACTAAGTGTTGATATTTACTTGAGTACAGTCAGAAAGGGATGGCGTTATGGGATAAGGGATGGTGCTATACATAGCGACATCCCTTTCTAACTGTACTCAAATAAAGATCAACACTTAGTTGTCATTCTGTAATACGAGCCTAAATTGATTCACAACTGTGACATCTCTCTCTCATCGCTGCAGTCGATATTTAGGGACAAACTGATGACTGTGTTTAATACTTTGATTAATAAGGCATCAAAATTATCATGAATGATAAGGCAGATTTTTATTATATAGATAAGACCACAAAAATATTCGATTCCTAAATTACATACCTATGTTTTGGAATTAGCCGCACAATTTGAATCGTTTGTGACGTCTGTGACCCCAGTTGAAAAATATGAATAATTTTGCCCTCTTCATTAAAACTATCTGAAATCCCACTTCATAGCAATATAATTGTACCTATTTTTTTGTCTACACTTTAACCTATGAAATATAACAGGTAAATACACAATAAACAAACAGAACATTTGGCATGCCAATTACCAGTATTTCCTTACTAAACTAGAAACGAGGAAACTCTAAGCATTGGTAATGAAGATTTAAAAAATCATTTTTATTGAAGAAAGTCTATTTCCTATTAGACGTTAAAACTTCATGATCAACATCATAGTATTTCTTTAAATTCTTTTCGACTTATATGTTATTAAATTAATTAAATACTTCATTATGATTAAGTTATAGAAAATACTTAGTTGTTATTCTCAAATCGCCCAAAATAAATTGTGCTCAAACAGCATTATAAACATCGAAGTTTGGACCATTCTACAAATCTAAAAATTACAAGCTTTGAAACACCGCTCCTTTAATATTAATTAACATACTGGGTTGTCGCATTTACGCAATCTAGCCTGAAAAATCTCCAAGGCTACATAAAATTGTCTTTATAGTTGTATAGGTATTTCAGGAGGCGAAATAAACAGAGCCCTACCTAACGCCCTGAACAGGGCCACTAAAACCAGACAATACTCCTGCACCGTTACCCGACACGCACTATGAGGACCGCGGTCCCCCTAGTGCATGCAGAGAAGGGCGGATGTGGTCGCGGCTCCTGTTTTCGAATGGCCGGGCTGCCACAGCCACAGGACTGGCTGGAATAAACAGGGAGGAGTCCCACATACCTTAAAGAAAAACAAGGTATTTCAGTAGGCGCTTGATGGTGCGCTCGCTCGGCTGTGATCGTTGAAATAAAGCAACATTCACAGTGGTCCGGTCATTGGTTGTGTGAGCAAAAATTTACTACCTCGAGCTCCTCCGTCGTTCGGAAGGCACTTTAAGTAGTTGGTCCCGGCTGCATCTGCAGTCGTTAGCACCCACAAATGGGCCCGCGTAGTGGGTCGTGGCTTAATCTCTCTATTCTATTTATAGAGAAGGCCTGTGCCCCAGCAGTGGGGACATTAATTGGCTGATGATGATAAAAATGTTGTCCTTAAGTATACATTTACCTCTCCATCGACTTTCCTGAAGATACCAGTCGGTAGATGAGGCAAGGGTGGGAAATACACATTCACGTTGTTCGTTGGCAAGTTGTGGCCGTATTTACGTTGCTGAAAATAAATCATAATGGAATCATGATCATCTTTTTTTGTATGCATGTAAATACAATCAAGTTCTACCAACGACTATTATATAAGTACTTAGGAATGTATCTTGATAGTAAATAAATAAATATTTCCAACACTCACACCTATTAGCCTAGCCCCAAAATAACTTTAAGGCTTGTGTTATGGGATACTAGGGTAACGGATAGAATACATATATTGTACTTATATAAGTATATATATATAGAAATACATATTATTACACATCCGTGACTGACATTGTATTCATCACACACACCGGGATTCGAACCCGGGACCTCTCGAGTCGGCGTCACCATGAAACCCGGCGTATAAACCACCCGGCGTATCAACCACTCGACCTCCGTCGTCGTTTATATTAGTCGTGATATAAATTAAATATTAATTAAGAAAATCGTCATTCATTATTCAATAAAATTCAATTGAATCAATAAAATCAATTTCTATTAAGAAATAATCAGCGGGGCACAGAAATAATAATAAAACGAGATCGAAAATAAAAGGTTCTTCTTACGTCATAAATATTTGATCCGGGTGGATCACTTGATCGAGGTACGCATGGCTCATAACAGCAAGGCTCCAATGGGTCATCATCCTGCCCACTACCCTCTCCTGGGCCTTTATCATTTCGACTGCTCTTACCGCCTTTTTTACACCATTTGGAAAAGTGAGCATATTCCGAGCAGCATATCGTTATTTTCCTAGGACTAGCGTACTGCGTGGCTTTTGATGGCAATATACGGCAAATCGAATACATTGCTCGTGGTGTTTTAAAGGGGCTACACATGTGCCAATATTAAATTATATATTTGGTTATTTTCGTAATTTTTTCTTGTTGTAGATAATTTACACTTTGAATTTTTTGAGCATATTTTTTCCTGGTTATGGATTTACTACATAGTGAATTGGTGACAATGACATATTGACTAATTGGTGACAAAGGTGATAGATAGATCACAAAGTTGAGACATTGTCAGATGATTGTCAAATAATATGACTTTAGTTGAAATCATGGTTAAAATCTATTGTTCTGAGTACTGAGGCGAAATCCTTTATCCATGGTAAACCTTTATGGGTCACTGCATGGGCACCCATAAAGGTTTCACGATCAGGTCTTAGTAGCAATACTACTTACACCGCGAAACGTGTATTGATCAGTAATGTCTAATACCCGCCATACACACTACGATAAATCGTTACGATTAGACTGTACAGTCCGAACGGTACCGATAAATCGTAGCGTGTATGTTAAAACTGCACAGTTTCCTATACTAAACGAAATCGTATAAACTGAAGATAAACTGTAACGTTCGAACTGTACAGTCTGATCGTAACGATTTCTCGTAGTGTGTATGGCGGGTATAAGTAAGTCTAATTATAAAAACGACGGGTTGCACTCCGGGAGTGCCAGCAGAAGTGAAAACTTGAATATTAACGTTGTGCATTTTTGATATTTTGGAATGGAAAAATTTTTCACGAATTGCTTTAATTATCAGTATAAAAGTATTATCATGTATGTGGTAGAATACAATATTTATTTAATGCGCTATAGTACACAAACATGACAATTTACATTACATTAAAAAAGTTTATCTCTTAAAAAAATCAACCTACAAGAATCAGGTTTAAGCTCACTTAGCGACACATATTGCCAAAAAATGCATTTGCTTCGCAATAAAGCTGCCACGTGGACGTCCTAGATAGACTTATTATTATAATACGGTAAAATAAAATATTACTATGTTTCGTTCAATATATTAAAGTCGACAACCTTTCCAATTTTATTGTGTGTCATGATGCAATCAGCCCACGTGTTTAACCTGACGCGAGTTTAACATTTTTTACCCATACAAAAAAAAGTGCACAACGCCGCTAAAGAAGTTTTCACTTCAAAAAAATGTCCATGTAGCAAAACTCCCAAATGGTCTATAACGCAGAACGTCTATTTAGTAAATCGTTATTTTTAAATTGTGTATACTCATGTAAGCTTAAGGAAATTTATCTATTTATCTGTGTATATATATATAAAAATACAGCTGCTGTTCGTTAGTCTCGCTAAAACTCGAGAACGGATTTATCTTATCTTGGTCTTGAAATGTTTTTGGAGGTCTAGGGAAGGTTAAAAGGTGAGAAAAAATGGAATAATTGCCGAGAAAACAATAAAAACAGCCCCTTTCGGTTTCTAAATAAAACGTAGAATCAATGTGAACTTTATTGCTATTTAATAAAGTTCATATTAAATTATAATTTGTTATTATAAATAACACTGTTGTCTAAGCAATGTAGGTGTGTTCCTAACGTCAAAGAGTCAATTTGCAATTTATTACCGCTGCACAAAGTTCAAATTCAATCATATTTATAATAGTCTTCGCGTGCGCATTGGAGGATCTAAAGCACGCTCTACACTCGCCCGCGATTCTTGCTGTGAATTCACGCCGCGATTCGCGCCGTGAACTTCGCGTTTCAATGTGTCCCTCCACACTCGCAAAGCTTCGCAGTCTCGTTCGCGACCTCAAAGAAAATGGATGACGAAGTGATTGTCGCTGCTGCGGTGACGATCTGTGCTATATCGTATTACAATTACCTATGTATTAAAAATAAGAATCAAATAAAAAAGAGATGGAGAAAAAGACGATGGTGGATGACTCAAATCCATCTCGGGAGAACCAGGTAAAATAATCATTTATTTAACTTATTGGATACTACTTTTGCCCGCGACTTCATCCGCGTGGAATAATGACTTCCGAAAAAAACAATTTATCCCCCTTTTCTCCCCGTTGGGAGGGAATTTCCAAAAATCCTCTCTTAGTGGTAGCCTACTCCTCTCAACAAACATACATGCCAAATTTCAGCTCTCTACTGCCAGTAGTTTCGGCTGTGCGTTGTCTGTCAGTCACTCAGTAAACTCCGTCAGTGTGTAATTCCTTGTGTGTTATTAAGTTAATGTATTGGTAATATTATTTAGATCACGTTCACATGAGGCTTAAGTACCTATACAACGAAAATACATCAGCGCAAAGCTTCCGGGTAAACTATGTTGAAAGTCTAATCATTTAAATGTATATATTTTTATTTACTTTGCTTTTTTTCCAGTGCTACTATGGATAGACAGTTGAGCGAATTAGTTGCTGAACCATCAGGAGAATTTCAAAAGTTTACGAGAATGTCTCAAACGGATTTTGATAACTTATTGAACAAAGTTTTACCAGCGATAGCTAAGCAAGATACTCAATTAAGAAAAGCCATCCCAGCTAGAATACGCCTTGCTATTACATTGCGATATTTGGCTACTGGAGATAGTTTTGAAAGTCTCCACTTTTAATTTAAAATCTCACCTCAACTGATATCGAAGATTATTCCAGAGGTATGCCAAGCTTTGAATGAAGCACTAAAGGAGGAAATCAAAGTAAGTAATAAAACAATTTATTATAATAAGTGTTTATTAATCATACGCCAAACATCATTTATTTATCAAGCGCTATTGAAAGCATCATCAATCATATTTTGAACATAGTTTGTGGATTCTTGAGTAGCTGGCTGGATAAGTGCATTTGAAGTTATGATAACCCTTGAAGCCGCAGGGGTAGAGGTTTCATCGTGAATGTGAATTTGTGATGGTGGCGAATAATAAATTGGTGGCTCAGAGTAACTGCTATGTGAAGTTCCTGCTCTCTGGTATGATGTAGATGGTTCCGAGTACGCCGTAGTATGTGCCGGAGACGGTGATCCAACAGATGACGAAGATAATACTGTCGTAACTTGTTCATGGTGCAAAAACATGTTATATATCACACACAAACCGCATTCGTTCATTATCGGGTAATTTTCTTAACTTTTTGGCTATAATTTTTCCATGTAAGTCACATTCATCATCTTCTTGAATTCGTCGATTGTTCATAGTTTCTTTTAGTGTAGACAGAGCATCTTTGACTGTTTCTCCAGCAGCTAACACTTCTGCAGGGTTTTTACGACGACGTACAGTTGGCGGTCTCAAAGGTTGACTATCTACATTACTATCCAAACTTTCCTCCCCCCCCCCTTCATTGGCACACACAGAAGGTGATTCTTCCTGAAATAAAATAATAATAATGTATTTATTTTTTTATTTTACAGTTGCCGACGAGTCCGGAAGAGTGGAAGGAAATTGAAAAAGGATTTGCACCTAAATTTCCGCGAGGATCTATTGATGGAAAACATATCGTTATTGAATGTCCAATCGATTCAGGATCGGATTAATATTTATTTTCGCAGACATAGGATGCCAAGGTAGAATAAGCGATGGTGGTGTATTTAGAAATAGTTTATTATGGAATAAAATTTGTCTTAATGAATTAAATTTACCTACACCACATCCATTGCCAAATTCATATAAAGATATACCCTACGTTTTTTTGGGAGATGGTGCTTTTGCACTCACAGAACATATAATGAAACCTTATCCTGGTAACCATGATTGGGGATCCCCAAAACGTAAATTTAATCAAAGGTTATCTAGTGCTAGAGTTGTAGTGGAGAATGCGTTTGGAATACTTGTAACTATAGAATATTTAAAAAACCGATCCAATTAAATCCTGAAAAAGTAAAACTTTTGACATTAACGTGTATATTATTACATAATTTCTTAAGAAGGTACTTAATTCCATTATATGTAATTGAATTTCGGGGTAATTTGTAGGGGAGGGGGAGGGGGGGCTCCCCCCGACCCCCCGCCATAAATGATTTTTGGCGGAAATGCAGTTTTTTTTTTTTACGTAACCTAAAAATTCATAAAATCTGTTATATGTAGTGGAATTTCAGGGGGATAGGTATTAGGGAAGACCCCTCAGAGGGAAGGGTAACCCCCCCCCCTCCCGGCGTTTTTTTACAGAAATGATAATTATAAAAAATTAGAGGAGTTTTAAAGGTAAATCTGTACTTCCAGCGCCTAGAGGTGATATTTGATTTTTCTGTAGAAAAAGTCTATTAACAAATTTTTCTTTCTGGCGCTTCGCCGGCCGCTACCGCGGCACGCTCGCTTCGCTCGCTCGGCTCGCGCGTTAAGGTCACAACACTAACCTAACCTAACCTAGTGTGAAGTATCACCACTTGGGCCTTAGATATACAGTTTAGCCGTTTAAATAAAACAAGTTTAAACACAAACACTGACTGACAGATCTCATTAATGGCGGTAAATTGTCACATTTTGACAATAATACCAACATAATAAACTTATATTTACCATAGACAACGAGAAACATGTTATTTTTGCACAAAAAAATGGCAGCACTGATCATGAAAATTGCGAAAAAAAAAATGTTGTCAAAATTGACTCATAACCTACAAAAATATTAATTTTCAATAATTTTTTTCTCGAGTTCTATTCGTTTCCGCCAAAAAAGATTTCGTGTACGTGTTTTTAATAGTTAATACTTTGCGTGACAAAAATTTCAGCTTGCAACTCAATTACATATAATGGAAAGGTGAGCCAGCCGCTCTGAACGCTCGTGAAATTAGAGACGAGTTCACGAACTATTTTCAAAATAATTAATTAATTAAAACATGTTGAAATAAATTAATACTTACAGTATTTATTGTTTGTTTACATTGAACACCTTCTCCCAGAAACGAGTCCATAATTTCGTACGCAAACCAGATGGGTTTATATATTTCACTTGAGCTTGCCCCACTGTGTGTGGAATCCTTAACTTTCTTTCTATAGGTTCTATAACTGGACATAAGTGAATCCTTCTTTTTCTTCAATTCACCTACAGGAATATTCAAAATGTCACTTATCCGCGTCCAGGCATCGTGGATCTTATTTTTATTTTTATGTTCCTTGTGTTTGGACTGCCAAAGTATTGGTTCAGATTGATAGCACTCAATAAGTTTTAACTCAAGTTCATTATTCCATGTAGTACTCATTTTTTTTT